CTTGAACTCCAGGCTGCAGCGAGCAGCAAGGAGAGAGCTAAAACAGACACTGCTACCTGGTACAGGATGTGTAATTAAAGGATTCAGACTCCAAGTTTTTCTGTCACATCGATGATGTGAAGCTAGATTTGAGGACAAAGAGATTTCATCTCACCATGATGTACTAAGTGATGACTGCGAGTTTTACACCAATCTCACTAACCTCTTTTCCTCCCTCCCTGCAGTTCCACTGGAAACAGCTTTACCGGTGACTTACAGTGCTTTAAACGATAAAAACACTATTTTTAAAGATTCAAACCTTCATTCAACACCACATTTAGGCTGGGCATGAAGGCAGCACTACGTGAAGAGCAATTAAAAGCTCAGGGTTTGGTTGTTTGATTTTTTTTTTTCCCTCATCCCACGAGTTTTCTCACTTTTACTCTGATTCTCTCCCCCATCCAGCTGGTGGGGCCGTGAGTGCGTGGCTATGTGATGGTTGGTTGCCAGCTGTGGCTAAAAACTACAATATGTGTACAAAACTAGAAAGGCAGTGGATTTTAATGGGAATTCCAGGGGAGAAAAAAATCAGTTGCTCAAGTCTCAGAACACATTTTGCTTTGCTCCCTTTCTAATTGGAAGACTACTAAGAAAATCCATGAAGACTCAAGACTCTACTATACTAAGTACACTACGTATTATGTAGATAACACACAGTTCTTATCACAAAGCTGTGCTTGTGTGCAGATTTTAATTTTAAATAGGTGCAGAGCCTACTGTAGAAACAATAAAGCAGATTTGATAGTCACAGCTTTCTCGGCATGCACATAAATAAAACCTTACTGTGTCTCCTTCAGTGCAATGACTGATTCAGAGTACTGAGGGAAAGCCTGTTTTCCTTTGCCCACAGCCCTCTGTTCCTGCTGTGCAGCAGAGCCCTCTGAGACAGGCAGAAGCTGTTAGTGGGGAGCAGGGAACTTCACAAATCTTGTTTTCTTGAGTTATGTTTCTACATAACATACATAACACTGCGTTAATTGCATCCAAAGACATCGAGCAGGCCGACTTCTGAGGCTTTGTTGTTCATCAAGGTAATGAAGTGATAAACAAGCATTGTCATGATCTCTTAGCCCACCCACAGTGACTCCTTGCTGTGCATCTCAGCCATTTTCAGGTAGTTTGAAGGGAGGAAAGCTGGGGAGGTTTTTATTGTTCTCAGATTGTTTCATGCCCTATACACAGAGGCTTCGCTGCTGCTCCACCGATCTCTCCCTGGCTGACTGGTTGTGCTGGTGGCTCCTGGCCTTCTCAAAATAGGGACGAAATAGGGAAAAACAAGAAAGGAATGATGTGTCAGGAAAAGCCTGTGCCAAGGAACAGCCTGCTGAGGCAGTTTGTCTTTGACTCATTCCTCGCTTTGTCCACTTACAGACCCCCAAAAACACAGGAGGGCTCCTGTTCGATGGTTGTGGGCTTGGTTTAACCACCCCAAAAAAGGCCTTTCCAAAGTCACAGTGACCTGGAGCTGCACAAGGAGAGAGGTTAGTTGCTGCCACAGCCACACTGAGTTGCAAATAAGCAGCTCTAATGCCTGTAGCAGTCGCCACAGGGTTCAGCCTTTCTCAAAGCCAGCACAAAGAAAATGTACTGTGTCATAAAGGCCTTCTTCCTCCCTTGTTATTTGGTTAGCTTGGTTTCTCAGACAGAGTTTTTTTACCATTTTTAACTACTTCCAAGCCTTCTTCCATACAAAAATGCTGCCTCCTCTTCTCACATTATATTCTACATACAGATTTATCTGGCACTGCAAATTAATATAAGTGCTGCAGTCTTGCTATTGTTTGAAGAAAACAACAGCCTTATCTTATGCCTGGAGTAGCAAGAATAGAATGTTAATATTTTATTTCTTGTGACTTCCAAGATAGTAAGTGCTTTTAGGAGGTGGCCAGGTGAGGTTAGGTCTTGGTTTATGCTTCAGGTGTCAAATGTAAGGAAGCACTCTGTTTGGTGGAGGAAGAAAACTGCTCTGGAGAAAAAGCCTTCCTCAAAATTCTAACCTTTGTTTCAAAGGAAAATTTGATATGGAGATGCATCTAATTCAGCACCCTGCATGGAGACAGACTAAATTTCCCTTCTACTTGTTTTACTCTCTGGTTGCCCAAATTGGTCCATTACTGTTTTAGAGGCCTGAAGTGTTTCTTACTCCCCCAACTTCTTGCCATTGTTTCCTTTGGGTTTTATGTCTGTGACATTTCTTTTTGACCTAAAATATGCTAAGAGTGTTAACTCTGAAGATATTCTTTATCCCTCTAGCACCACCATGTGTGCCAGGGCCTTGCCACCCTCAGAGGGAAGAATTCACTTCCCAATGCCTAATCTAACCCTGCTCTGTGCCATTGTGAAGCCATTCCCCCTTGCCCTGTCACTCTTAGTCCTTGTAAATTGTCTCTCTCCAGCCTTCTTGTTGGCTACTTCAAGTATAGGGATTAGGTCTCCCCAGAGCCTTCTCCTCTCCAGGCTGAACAATCCCAATTCTGCCAGCCTTTCCTTGTCTGAGATCCTGCTGATCACCTTGGTGGCCCTCCTCTGGACTCATGTTCACAAGAGTGCTGAAGGAACCCACTAAACTGTGCAAATATTTCTCAATGGTGACACTTCCCCTGCATTCAAAGTTTAGAAAGAAATTTGTGGTTGAATCTTCCCACATAATTCTTAGTTCTTAATTCTGGAATTAAGAAGTGGGCCCACAACTGCAGAGATCAATTTAACCACCCACCCAAATACACTGCAGAGGGCTTCAGTGTTACTGGTGCCCCTGGGTGTCTGACCACAGCCACTATTTCTGACCCAGCTGCTTTCCAGGCCAAGAGATGAAAAATCCCTTTGGATTTTGTTTCTAAACTCTTTGGGGAAAACCTTAATTCATGGGCCCACAGTCATGGTCAGTACCTTGCCTCTGAAAAACCTGAGGCATGGCATGAGCAGATAGGATTTTCTCTTCTTGTCTTCTGACTGCTTGCAAATTGAAACTACCACTAACAGCCCAGGTTGTGGGTGTTAACTGGAAAAAATAAGTTATCAGGTACTTGGAAGATAATATGAATATTCAAACCGCAGACAAGGCCCAGCCTGGTGCCAGTGCAGTCCCAGGAGGTCCCTGGATGGAGCTGGGAAGACTGGAGCAATGCTTCTGCATCCTCTTGCCCTGGGTTTGTGCAGTGCTGCTGATGGAGAAGGCACAGCCGTGCTGGGAGGGGACTCACAGAGGCAGAGGTGGCTTTAGAGAGTCATCCTTTGCCACCTTCACTGGCAGGGGGAAAAACCTCCCCATGGTGATGAATTTCCACACTGGAAGTGGGCTCCTATTGCTGTGTCCATGCCAAAAGTGCTGCATTTTAATTCCAGAACGGTGCTTAGAGCTGCCAGGAAACCACCCTGCTGCACCTCATGCCAGTGTGGCTGCATCTCTGCCAAATGCCATCATCATGAGGTTACTATTCCTTTCCAGCACCACAGCTTTGGGGAAAAAAACAAAAACAAAGCAACAACAGCTGCCTAAGAGTGAATTAGTGAGCTGTGATGTAAAGCAAAGCTGCCTCAGAGGGCATGCAACCTCACACAAACATCATGGAAGGATGTCCAGAGAAGGGAACAGAGCTGGGAAGGGGCTGGAGCCCCAGGAGCGGCTGAGGGAGCTGGGAAAGGGGCTCAGCCTGGAGAAAAGGAGGCTCAGGGGGCCCTTGTGGCTCTGCACAAGTCCCTGCCAGGAGGGGACAGCCGGGGGGGGGTTTGGGCTCTGTTCCAAAGTCCAACTGGACCACCCAATGCAGGAACACCTGGAGCAGGTGACACAGGAACATGTTCAGATGGGGCTTAGATGTCTTCAGAGGCAGCCCTCCAAAAAAGTCCGGAAAAAGATGACATTATAGATGTATAATGTGTCAGAGAATCTCCTAGGCAACTTCCAAAGCTCTTGGTCACTTAAGGCATAAGCATTTCAAGTCCTGAGCACAGGTAAGTTGCATTGCATAGTAATTTCTTGCACAGCTGACTATCATTTTCCATGTGTTTAATGGCTCTCCATGAGCACAATTTTGACAGCTTTTTCCGTGCAACAGTTATTATCTTTAAGTCTCTTCTTTCACCTCTAAGTAATTTTCTGCACTTAAGCATCATTATTCCTTTGGTTGCACAATGATGCCACTCTCTTAAAATCCACGCTATATTTGGGCATGAAGAATACACTACTGGATGCATCCGTTCTTTTTTTATCTCCTTTCAAACCAAAAATAAGAAGTAATGACAGGAATAAACGCTCACGGACTCTCGGTATTGTTCTGTTACACAGCAGTCACCGAGACCCAGGTCGAAAGTAGCTCCTCCAACAAAAACTTGCTGGAGGAGGTTCAAAGGAATGTCGGTGGGTGAGCTGATCAGTTCCAGGCCACCCTCAGTGGAAAAGTCGATGCGGAAGTTCTGGTGTTGTGCTGATGCCAGTGGGCACCACCAAAACGCGTTTGGAGGTATTTATACGGGTTGATGAGATGCTTCCTCAGGGCGAGCAGCCTAGAGCTGCCGCCACTGCCCACGGCCGGGCCGGGCCGGGACTCGAACCCGCGTCTGCGGGGCGGTGGCGGGCGCGCAGGCGCGCGCAGGCCCGGTGCGCGCGGGGCGGGGCGGCGCGGCCGCTTATCCCGCGGGAGCGGCGGGGCCGGGAGCGCATCCCGCACCGCGCCGCCCGCCGCGCCCGCCGCGCCCGCAGACATGGACGAGGAGCGGGTGAGTCCCCGCGGGACAGGGGCTGCGCGCCGCCCGGGAAGGCCGGCGGGGCGTTTCCCGGCGCTCGGCCTGGGAGTGAGGGGCCGGCGGGTGGAGGGGCGGTGCGGGAGGGCAGCGGCGCGGGGAAGGGGGATGCTGGCGGAGTTCTGGGGGGATCCCGGGTCCGATTTCCTCCTGGATGTGTCTCTCTCTCTTTCTGGAGACGTTCTTGTGTCACCTTCTCCAGGCGAGCCTGCTTTGCCAGGGGGGTTGGACTGATCCCTTCCAGCCCTGGCTATTCCGCGGTTCTGGAATGAAGTGCTCCAGCGGTTGTAGAGCTCTTTCACCCTGTGTATTCCTGCCATAAGTAATTATGGTGCGTGCATAAGCCCTTCTGTTTGCCATTGATGTAATCCAGTGTTGCAGGGAACTAAGGCGTAAAAGGGTTTTGTTGGGGATTTTTTTTCGTTGTTGGTTTTGTTTTTGTGGTTTGTTTTTGGTGTTGGTGGTTTTTTTTGGTTTTTTTTTTATGTGTGTTGTTATTTTTTGGTGGTTTTATTTTTTTTCCTTCCTGTGGCTGCTGTCCTGTAATTCCCTCTTTCCCTCACTCGCCATCAGACCCCTCGGGGGGTTCACTGAAGGGCAGAGATGTGCCCACCCAGGCTTTGGGGGTTTCTTGAACAGACACCCCCTTGCAAAAAGTTGTGACTCAGCCTCTTGGCTTCCAGTCCATCAGGGCAGAAGAGCTCCTTTTTCTGTGCTCTGTGGACACTGTGCTTTCCCCAGCTTGGGAATGAGTTTGCGTGTGGGGAGCCTGAGTAATTTGGTGCTGATAATGGCTTGAAATTTACAGATCAGTGTCATTTTCTCTTGCTACAGCCATGCCCCAGCACTGTAGGAGTTATTGGGAAATTACTGGGAAAATTAACTTTATCCAGGCACAACAGAACTTGCTGTGAGTTCATATCTGGCAACCCAAGGCTTCAGCAAATCCAGCTCCTCATCCTATGCAAGCAACACCCTAAATCACAAAATACTGCAATTCTGTGTAACTTATTTTATATAAAACTTATTTATGCTAACCAGCTAATATCTCTAAAGGTGTGTTTTAGAAGGTGAGATGTGAAATGCCATAAAAAACTGCGCTTCTGGTAGAAACTCTGTCAATTTGGGTCTGTCTGCCTTTGCCTGCTCTGAGATTTGCCCCTCTTGGGGAGCAGTAAATGAGCACTGCTTATTTACTGTTGTGGGTGCTCTAGGTGGATGTTTCTGAGTGGGGTCATTGATCATATTTGAATTCCAGAGGTTCAGAATACAGCAGTAAAACTGCAAGGCATCTTCTATTTTACTGTATTTTCTCTACAAAGGGTTAATTTGGTAATGTCACCTGTACTGTACAAAGTTCTTCAAACTCTGGCAACCTCACTGTGTTGACAAGTGCAAGAGTTTAAATTAATGGAAGCTAAGTAAGCATACCCTCCTTGAAATTTGATCTGGATATGAAGGTTATAATGTCTCGTGATTTTGTCCTAGACCCTGGGCTGCTTCAGAAACTGTTCTGCTTGCAGTCAGTTGGTGAGCCTTCGGTCTGATCTTGGACAACTTTGTAACTTGCTTCTTGTGCAGAACTGCCACCATGGTTTAATTTATGAAAATTTAGTTTTTATGAGGTGCCTGTCTGCTTCAAGAGGTGCCATGTCATGTTAGTTACTCACTATTCAAAGGTGGGTGTTCTGTTTTTATCCACCTGGCAAGACTACAAACTACACGTTGTAGTTTGGCTACCATTAGGCTACCATTTGGCTACTGTAGGCTTCCATTTCTTTTTCCTGTCCTTTTTTACTCTTCATCCTTTGCTCATCATTACTATTGCTTTACCAGTGGCATGTTTGGATTTTCCTTTTTTTTTTTTTTCTTTTTTTTTTTCCCCAAGAAAAGTGCATTAGATTCAGAGAGTAAGATTAGGACACAAAAGGGAGGAGCAGCATGGAGCTCATGGACAGCAGCAAAAATTACCTCTGTAATAAACATTTCATAATGCTTTGAAAATCCATTTAAAACTGACCTCACATCAAGGTCAGAGAGAAAGCTCAAAGAAAATTGCTTGTAATAGAATTTTGTGAAATACTGCATTCATCAGTGGGCAGTAGAATTGAATGTCCTTTAGTGCAGAAATACCAAGAAATTTTATTTGGCTTAGTGCTGTTGAAATTCTTCTATAAATTAATGTAGAATGTAGGCCTCATCTGGTGCTTACACTGGTAATTTTTCTAGAACCCTTTATTCCATGAAAGTGCACTGTCTTTTCAGAAATTCCACTTAAAGAAATGGCAGCATTGCAGCATGTCTTTAATTTGGCATGTGTGGTATGTCTGGAAGGAAATCTATTTACTGTGTATTGGCAATGAGAAAATTATGTTGGAAAATAGAATGAAATAGTGGTTCCTAAAAGCTGCTTTTTTTTGTTCTGGTGGTTTGTGCGTTGGTGTTTTAGAAAAATTGTGTCTGCTGTTGGTGGATACTTTTAAAGGACATTCAAACTGCTTAAAATTTCATCAAACCTGGTTCAATTTCTTAACAGAGAAATTGATAGCTTACTTAAAAAGAGCCACACCAACCCACTTTTAATCAATTAAATGTAACTTTAGGTGAAAATCTTGGTTGCAGTTGCTGCTGTGCGTTTGGCTGTGTAAAGGCCTTCGTAATGTCCCTCACATGTAGATATTTTCCCTTAACCAGGATGTAGCTATAGAACCAAGCAGCGTTGTTCAGCACTACACAGGAGAACACTTTTCCCCCATGTATTGCAGCTGAGTAAGCCATAAGATCTGTGCTGAAAGAGGATTGTGAGTTTTTCATGTTCATCCAAATTGACAGTTGTGCTCATAGGATCTAAGGCTTATCTCCAGGCTATCTGGCCTGTGAAAACAATTGCCTCTGGTCATTGGTGAATACAGAAGCAGCTGGCTGGACAATGGCTATTCATCTGGCATTCTGATGTGTACAAAATTGCCTTCAAACATGCTCAGTCTTCACTAGATGAGGAGAAGGTTCAGTAATGAAGTGGTCAAGATTTTCTCTGCCTCTGTTTCTGGAAGAAGCCAAGGTCTGGTTTCTGTTCTCCCAAAGTCCAGACCTGAGTCATTGCTGTCTGCTCTGTTACCTCTGTATGTAACACCATCAACACCTGCGGTAAAAGCACTAAAATTTGTTTTTTCTACTTGTGATTTAACTTCCTGAGTATGATGTGGCAATGCATCTGAACAGCTTGGGCCATAGTGTGCACCAGCCAAACTGTCTGTAGAGTTTCTTATCAGGCCCTCTGGAATTTCTCAAGGTTGCTGAGACTTAAGCTGTTCTAAAAATAAGAAGGAAGAGGCTGAAAAACAGGAAAACAGGACCACAAGAGCCAGATAGCAGAGGGTGGTTGAACACCTGGACTGTAACCAATCCTGTGCCCTGAGGGCTGCAAGCAGAGAGCATGGACAGGGTAGGGGCACCGATGAAAAGATCCATATTCATGTGAACAGTAGGTTTAGAATGTATAAATAAGTGTATAATGTAAACAATAAATGGCTTCTATGAGACCGTATTGGCTCATTGATCAGAGGTCCTGAGAGCTCCTGCAGTATGACACTGTTAAACAGGTAGGGGACTGGAGTACCCATAAATACCTCATTGCAGATTTGTTAGGAAACTGCCTGGGAAGGGGTCAGAAGAAATAGGAAGGAGCACAGCTTAAGACTAGTGGTGAAGTTCTTTAAATCTGGTGTAGTGTTGCGACTCGCTGTGAAAGGATAAAACATTTTTCTTGCTCTTTAGAAAACAAATGTGATCTAGGTAGTACATGGTTGTTAAGAAATTACTTCTGGGAGGGACTTCTGCAACATCCCTTTGGTGGTCTGGCTCTTTCCAAGGTGTATTTTATGATGTCTTTGTGCCTTGGTTTCTTAAATTTTATCCAGTAACAACAACTGATTAATAATGTATTAATTAAGACAGTGTTTACCTGCCTTTTTAGCATTAGATTTGATTCCAAAACCTATCAGCCAGCCTGAGTTAAGCTACAGAAAATTCTTAGTTAACTTCTCATCCTTTATTTTTACTTGCATATGGTGATATGCAACTGGACTTAATTTTAAGTACCAAGCATTGATGTGTTTTTGTCAGATTCTTAGAGTATGTGACTAGCTGCTCAATGAAATTAGACTTAGTGGTCTTATTTAATTTAAAATAAGTTTTGATGTACTTTAATAATTTTTTTAGCTTGGTACATGTTTTGTAAGCTGAATCTACTGCTTTTTGAACTGGGATTCACATCACTGAAATAACCTTGGTTCTCTTTCTCAGCTGTCAGTAAGCTTTCCTGTTTGAGGTCACTTTTAATTGGAGTAAAGAAGTTACTGAAAAGACCAAAAATTACCCAAAATGCTTTCCCACTTGTACAATAAGTTTACAAATCACTTTTACAGATTTATTCTGCATATAGAATAAACTATCAGTGTGGTTATTTCGTGGTAGCTTCCCCTTCCATGAGGAAATCTCAAATTCTATTCTGGGTTTCCTTCTATCAGCTTTTGAAATTTTCTTTGTTGGTTCCCTGTTTGGCTGCACAAGCACCAGCTTTCTCATCTGGAGAAGCTGTGGTGCCAGTGAGTATTTTGATGCAGGTGACTCATGTAGAAAAACATGTGAAACAGTGGGGTATCTTAAAGAACCTTCTTGATTTCTCTCAAACTGACACATGGAGATCTTCAATTTGGTAGAATGCTTCCTAGAGGATTAATAGTCTTTCTCTATCCTGAGAAAATGTATTTCCTGGTCTTGTCAGAACTGAATTCGCTGCAGCTGGGATGTCTGTGATGCATTTTCATGCATGTTGAAATGGTGATGATTTAAAAAAAAATTGCAAAACTATTTTTTCAACTTCTCTCACTTGTTTTTGTGATTCTAGGAGACTTTGCAAAGGATTGTCAGTACTCTCATGAACAAAAATGATGAAATCCACAACTTCATTGACATGCTGAACCATACAATATCAAATGTTCAGGTATTTATTTTAAGGTTCATAGCTTGTATCTGAGAGGGGGAAACCTTCTCAGTTTTGTTAGTCTCAAACTGTAGTGTCTAAAGGATGGGCTGTAAGAGTCCAGTTCAAAATACATCTTCATGTTGGAACTAGATAGAAAAACATTTTATGTTTTAAGTCTCTCTAGATGAAAGGTGTTGCATAATGTTTGAAGAGGTTTTGTAGAACTTCTTTTGTGTGGGAAAGATAATCCTTAATCTGATGCAAGATCTGAGACCCACATTGGTGGAAATAGTCTGTATTTTCAGACATCTACTCTGTTTGGTGGACTGAAAAATGATACTTGACAGAAAATACTTCAGTCTTTCTCTTTTCAGCAGTTTCAAATTGTTGGGCTCAAGTTTGGAGTTAGAAGTTTTTGTTAAGGCATCTGCATGAGGATGAGGCTTGGGTTCCTTCAGCCTGTCAATCAGCCAAAAGTTGTTTCATCGTAAAGCTGAGCGAGGTTGGCTGCAGCAATGGAAACTATCCAGCTGATCCTTAAACTGCCTTCCTGAATGTAGTTTTTAGCATCAAATGAAATATTTTTATTTGGAATTGGGTAACTTCCTCCTTCCAAAGATCTAGCAATCCGTAGAAAATTGCACAAGGAAAATCAAAGCTTTTGGCGTGGAACAAAGTTACCAGGTGTGCTGGTTTTGTGCAAGTTTGAGTATCATAGGATTTTCACAAATTGCAGCATTCAGTGTCCTGATGTAGAGTCTGCTCAGGACACTATTAGATCATTCCTAATAATTTTTCCATTTTTGATAAACTGAGAGGCAGTCACAAGTGGTCATGACCTAGCGGTCATGGCAAAACAGGTGTGGGGAGTTACGTGACTTTCAACTTCTCTGTATTGTTTCCAGTGTAAACAGCATTTTCAATTCTTAGGTAAACTCTTCTAATGCCATCAGCGAGCTGGATGAGGAGTTTGATGGTCTGTATTCTGTACTGCATGAGATGAAGGGGAGCATGGCCAACACTATTCAGCAAGAAGAGGCTCGTAAAATTCAAGCTTTGCAGGTAAATAAATGACTCCAGAAAAATTTTGTAGCTGCACAGAAGCATTTTTAAACTTCCTCTGTTCCTGTTATGCTATCCCTGTTTCTTACACAGCAATATTGATTTTCAGGATTGTCTTGTGACGCTTCCGGAGCTGGTAAAGTCACCACCTTTTTCAAGGCTATTGCCACACTGTCATTCAGTGATGAAGTGCAGTCCTGTAAATAGAAATTGTAGTGCACATGAATATAAGTGTTCATTTCTCTGCTTTCTGAAACCCTGAAGCTGGGGGAAACAGGGTGTTGAAATTAAATCTGGCTTTTAAGTCAGACTTCAGCTTTTCCCCCCCTTGGAGTTGTGGGATGTGCCAAGTATCACTGTGCACTTGTCAAGCACAGTGAAGTTAGGGCACTGTGAGAGGCCTTGGTTATATAAGGGAATAAATTGTCACAAATGCATAACAAATCTGTGTAGTTCCTAGGACTGGTGCCTCACAAACTGCAGTTTTAATGGGAATGCATCACATTATTTTTTCTGTTTTTGCTCCAGGATCAGCTGAGCCAGTGCAGCCATGCCCTGGAGAGCTCAGAAGAGCTGCTGGAACTTGCTGTGCAGTCACTGGACATAAAGAACCCTGTGGAGCTCTTAGAGGTAGAAAGCATTGACTGGATGTGTGTGAGGCAGGTGTTGGCATCTGTCTCCATTTGAAATATCCTTTGCGTTTCCCTCCTGGACACTGCAGGAGGTGTACTTAGGGTAACAGGTGTACTTAGAGTGAGGGTAGACAGGCATATAAAAATACAGTTATTGCTCTGCTGAAAAGCTGAGTTAAACATTGTAGTCCTGAATTTTTATGCAATTTCTGATAAAGCAGGTTGGCTTTTTTCTTATTTAGGGTGACGGAGAGGGTATACAATGCCACCTTCTGGACAGCTGTCATTGTCAGGCAAACTTGCAGGGATGACCCCAGAAAGGGAGGGTGAAATAACATGTATCTAACTGGAAGAAATACCTGTGAATTAAGGGAACAGTTCCACATATCCACTAAATGAGTACACTAATGCTTTCTACAGTAATCCCAGTGGTAGCAGTGGGATCAGCCACACAATGCAAGACCAAATTACTTTCTTTCCTCCACCTTTTAATGTGAGCAAGGACACAAATCAGTTTAAAAGAGCTTGGGAGAAAGCTGTCTTCCTGTGTCAGTTTTACCTTTTGGCTGCATGTTTGTGTGCTGTCGTGATTTCTGGGTGTCAGCTTTGATTTATTTGCCTTGAAGAGCAGCAATTCCTAAACAGTATTTTTTTTCAGCTGGAGTTGTCCTTTCTGCCTTGTAGCAAAAAAATTAAGTTGGCTCTTGAACTCTGTGCAAAATGCAGCTTTGAATTTCTTGGAAGTTGTTCTATTTCAGATCCCTCTAATGCTTTTTTCCCAATCAAATACTTCAAGGAAAGCTGTCTGAGCATTTGCTGGGGGGAAACCTCTTCAGATTTGGAGTCTAAAGATTAAGATACTGAAATCCAATTCAGTGAGCTCTAGTATGTAGGATTTGCTACTGGTATTAACACTTGTGCATTTGGAGATGACATTTTAAGGTAATATTGCCTTGACTATTAGGCAGTTAATTCTATTACTCTGCTGGGAGGAATAGCAAGTATTCCTGAAGGGGCAGCTCCAGCCCTGACTCTGATATATTCACAAATTTTCTTTGAATACACCAGTAAATCAGTTCAGGAGCAATTAGCGTAAGATTATATTTTAACTTTTTTCCCTATTTTTTTTTTTTTTTTTGTGGCTTTATTCTTGGACTTGACTTACCTGGAAGTCAAAAGAACATGGGCAGTAGATTACAGGGGGGTTCAGTGTTTAGGCAGGATATGATCAGACACTGCTGGGTAGCTCCTCTGGAATGGGCTGATCCTTCTCTGTCAGTAGCCTGGAAACAAACTAAAGTCAGTGAAGTTAAGCTGGGGCTGTCTTGCAGAAGATGATGAGTCTTGGCTACCTTATATTTTACAAGATATGGAGATTAGAGCCAAGGATTTTGTTGTGAAGTATGTCTGTTTCATGTCATGTAGAAAAATCAGTCAGTAATTCCTACAATAACTTTGTTTTGAGGTGAAGCAAAGCTACCTCTTTTGCTAAATTATTTATAAACACTTAGTTTGGGGGGGTTTCTGCTTCCCACTTTAGGAATATATAATCAGTTTTGTAGCAGGGACAGCCTGATTTCCTATTTATTTTTTTTAATGGGATTTGTATTTAGTGAAAAATTGGGAAGTTCTCCACTTTTGACTTCAAACTGGGAAGCTGCCTGATGATTCTTGTTTCTTTGAAAGGGAAAATAATTCAGCTGAATGAGCAGCTGGATCAAGGAGGAGTGTTGAAGCAATGCTTCAACAGACACAGCCAAGCCCTCACTAATTCAACAGTAATCTTTTGTCTTAGGTTTGTCTCAGGTCCTTTTGGTGAAGGAGAGATATTTTTGTCTTTCCACCTGGCAGATGATGTTTATCTTTTAAATGTCATCATTTCTGCATCTGCTTCAGTGTTCTTATTTGAGAATAACTACTTGCTGTCATTTTTGTATGCTGACATACAGAGAGCCTTTTATTATACTTCAACAATGCTTCCTAACTTTCAGAGGAAAAGTTAGAATAAGTCCTATTTTTTTCTTATTTATCAGGGCATGCATCCTGTGGTGTGTAGTTCAGCAAGTCAGGCATAGTTAAATGTCAGTAATAAGCACTTCTTAGTTTCACACAAAATACCATGGCTGTTAAATGTTGTTGGCTTGGTCCTGTAGCTCTTTTAAAAAGCCATGGAGAGTAACTCTAAGAGAAATCTGAAAATACAAAGTTATGCTCAGAAAGTTGAGTAATTTGGAATTGATTTGTTTTTCTGGAAATCAGTTTTGGTTTCTTTCCCCCCAGATGTTTCATTATTGCTGCGCTAACCCATGCTATTAACGTGTTTCACAGGACAGTGTGCTTTAAGGAATATATTGAACTAATTTTGAACTTCAAATCTGAGCAATGCAGCAGATTGTTCTTGGTCTTCTTGCATGTTACTGCCATTGATACTTGCATGGAAATGCTAACTACTTTCTCTCTCTTCTCCCTGACATGCATCAAGGCTGCCAGACAGATCAAAGATAGGTACAGTACAAAATCTATGACTTTTGTGTCTTTTTAATTAATCTTATCCTTGAAAATGCATTTACTATGAAAGGGCCATAGTCAGCTTTAATCAAATTCATTGACTCTTTCCTAAGTGTTAGTTATCACAACTTCTGAGAGGGAACTAAAAACTTCTGTGCTGCTCATGTAGTGTTTTTCTGGCTTTTCGTAACTTTAAATAAAAATATGTTTTTGGTGCAGGGAAGTGAAGCTCTGCATCAGCTTCTGCTGTAATTATTACGTCTTTGAATATATATGTATATTATTAATTATTACTATTAATAATAAGCTTATTATTAATACCTTATGGCTGAAATTTAATGATGTTTCAAGCTGACTCTGCCCCTTTGAGTTGTGGGAGAATCTTACTGTTTTGTTTTTTTTTTTTCCCAAGTATTTAAAGACTTTTGCTAGTTAATTTTCCTTCAGAATGTAAAAAGTCTTGCAGCTGTTGAAATACTTCTGGTGACACTAGTGACCATGAAATTATTATTTCTGTTAGCTTTTCTTTGAACAATTGTTTTAAAAGCAAAACTTTGCTGTTTCAAAATCAATACTAAGGCCATTTTTCTTCACTTGGAAGAATGTTAACTCTAGTCCAAGCATATGACGTTTTGGTTCAGAAAACCTTCTGTGATGTGCATAATATTTTGGGAAGCAGCTAACAGGATGTTTTTGCTTTTGTGGACCAAATAGGTTGGCTTTCAATTTACAGGTTTTTTGGTGAAGGCTCTGATTTACTAAATTCTCTGAACTTCTATGTAAAATTAGTAATTGTTAGAGCTTAAATGAATCTTTGCCTTTGTAAAGTTAAAATTTAGTATCCTTAACAGGTCAGAGGGAGAGTGGATAGTGTCAGTAATGGGACTCTTTGGTATGTTTTGTCAGTAATAAGCATCCTCTTCTGGTTTCGTGAAATTATCACCAAATCCTTCGTGGTTCTCTGTTCAAGACTGGTGTCTGAGCAGAAGTCAGAAAGCCCGCTGTCCCTGGTGTTCTCTTGCTGCTAATCAGAGGATTATTCTTCCTTAAGGAGAGATTTTCTGTACCCATCTGGCTAAGCAATGATGTGCCAGGCAGCCCGTACTGAATTTCACAATGTGAGCTGTTTTGGAAAATCAATTGAATTGTCTTTCATGACGTTCAGCTCAGTCTCATTATTGTCTCATATCCCAAAATGGCAAAGCTCATCACTCCTGACTTGCATATATTTTTAATATTAAACTTCACATTTTCTCTTCCTTCATCACTACCAGATTTTTGTTTTTCAGTGTTCTTTGATAATATCTGTGGTTAGCATACAATCTCTCTTACATACTGGTGGAGTGCAGGAAGGGATATGCATTAGGTGTTCTAAAGGTGCCACACATCAGTGGGTGTAAAATGGATTCAGGTCTTGGCAGTTGACTTTTGTGGCATATATATTACTTTGTAATTGAGAATCTTTTCTTTTTTGAAGGAGGAGTTGGGAATCTCTGAACTATGATTCAAAGTGTCTGACATTTCTCAAAATCTGCTGCATGACCTGGTGTTTTCAGAGTTAGAGAATTATATAAGAGCTTTTTTTTGGTGGTGTAGTTGGAGTACAGAAATGTCTTGGGAGTGTTCATGATAGTACTCACCTAAGATTTCAGGAGTGGAAATGGAAGCTGTGCTTCACAGTCTGCCAGGATGGGTCAGGTTGGAAGGGACCACAGTAGGTTGTCTGTCTTAATGTGCCTGCTCCAGCAGGGTCATCCCAGAGCACGTGGCACAGGATTGTGTCCAGGTTCTGGAATACCTGCAGTGAGAGAAACTCCCCAGCCTCTCTGGGCAATGTGTGCAGGGCTCGGTCACTGCCCAGGGAAGAAGTTCTGCCTCATGTTCAGGTGGAACTTCCCGGGCACCAGGCCCTGCCCGTGGCTCTGGTGCCATTGCTGGGCCCCTGGAGCAGAGCCCGGGCCCTGCTGGGAGCCCTCCCTGCAGCCAGGGACACCCAGGGCTGAGGGCCCCTCTCAGCTGGGGCTCCTCTCCAGGCTGAGCAGCCCCAGCTCCCCCAGCCTTTCCTCATGAGGGAGATGCTCCAGGCCCTTCCTCACCTCCACAGCCTTTGCTGGACCTGCTCCAGGAGCTCTGTGTCCCTCCTGCCCTGAGGAGCCCAGAGCTGGACACAGCACTCCAGAGGTGCCTCCCAGGGCTGGGCAGAGGGGCAGGATCACTGCCTGACCTGCTGGCAATGCCCTTCCAAGTGCACTCCAGGGTCCCATTGGCCTCCTTGTCCCCAGGACACTCTGCTCAGGGACAGCTCTTTGTCCCCCAGGCCCTCGAGGTCCTTCTCTGCAGAGCTGTTTGCCAGCAGATCACCCTGGCCTGTGCTGGTGCTTGGGGTTATTCCTGCCCAGGTGCAGGACCCTGCATTTCCTTTGTTGAATTAAATTCTTCAGTGTTTAGTGTATCTTGTTGTCTGGTGGTTGCATGTTCAATTCTGCTGCTTGAAAAAAACTCTTCATCCCCTGATAAGGTAATAGATGGATATAAAATCAGCGTAGTCAGCTTGTTAATTGCTCTTTAGAAATGCCTAAACATGATCCTGAGTCTGCACTACTTCAGACTTTTCATACTTGCTGAATTTATGTCAAGCGATGTATATTTTATTTTGTTTCTTATGCAGTCTTTTTTGTCACTAGTAGAGAGTTTTAAACTCATCGTTAGTCACCTCATTAGTGTTTATTTGCTTAGCAATACGGAACAGCTGGTAGCTCACACCATTATTCTGAGACAGTCACATTAGCAAAACTTTCTATTTTGAGTGTGCTGAATGGTAAACAATTATGTGTGAGAAAAATGTTCTAATCTTTGATCGGTAGTTTGACGTCAGTGATACAGATTGTCTGATTGCTGTTTTGGAAATTGGGATATGGGACTTGACAATGTGAAGTACATTTTGCTAATGCTGCTTTCTTGGCTTTAGTGTCACAGTGGCTTCAGCATTCCGCCTCTCTCTGAAACCAAAAGTCAGTGACAGTATGACTCATATGATGGTGGACTTTGCCCTGGAAAAGCGCATGCTCCAAGCTGTGAAGTTTTTGCCAGGTAAAAACTGTATCCAGCGAGTGTAATTTGTTGCTATGTGAACAGCTTGCTATATTTAAATCAACCAAACAAAAGAAAATTGCACCTCTTGCTCTGTAATAAGCAAATTTTTAAGAGTACCTGAACTCATTCTTACTCAATGTATGCTAAATTGAATACCTTGAGGATGAGACTTTTATTGTATTAGTTTCTACACAAGACAGCATTTTGGAAAACAGTACTGATCTCAGAAGTGAGAGTGAGTCTCCTGGACCATGTTTTTTCATGAGTTGTCAGTTCCTCTGTACTCTGTGAAGTTACCTGAGGTTTCTTAGGACTGTCCATGCCAGCTTGATCCTGAGTGACACCCCAGAGTCCTGCTCATGTGCAGGAGTGTTATGTGTGGAACTGTAAGCTTACACGTTGCTTACCAGAGTGGTGAAATGATCTGAAATACAGGAGAGGGACAGTCTACTACTTCGGTGATACTACCATATTACAAAATGTCTATTAATCCATCTATTCCTGTTTGACAGTAAACTTGGCTGCATTAGACCAGTGTGTATCTTTCATGCCTTTTTAATGCTATTGCTTTCCTATTTAAAACACTTTGCCCTTGTTGGCTATTAACTGACAATATATTGACAAGAACACTGCTGGCAGGGATGTAAAGTTGTCTGGGTCATGAATCCAAATCTATTAAGGACTTGGTAGCATCAGTTTTCATTTCTGCCCCATGTGTTGCAGATACAGTATGTGGTAGCAGGTGTAGTAAATGACCACTGTACTTGCTAGTGGTCAGCTGGCAGTGTCCAGGCAGAAATTCACCTTCTAGTCTTGGCCTCTGGGTGTCAATCACTGCCCTGCATTTCACAGTGCACCTCTTTAACAGCAATGGGACTGTAAAGATCACACAGCAAGTGTGAACAAAGTTCTGCATTTAGATAAAGGTATTATTTAGTATGACCCTTCTTACACATTTTTATTAGTCAAATATATAGGAACTTAAATTATGCCTCTGATTTGTAAACAGGAAAATAGACTGTCTAGGTATCAATCTTTTTTTTTCTACCATAGTGCCATGCTTCCAAATTACTCAGACATCAAAAACTCAAACTGAAAACAGTAAAACTTCTTTTTGATTTCCTGCAGCAAAAGTCTTCCTTGGGTGTCCTTACTATGTAAATGCCTTTTTCAAAACTTTTTTTCCACAGACTTAAGTGCTGTTTGGTTTCATGGAAGTAGAGTTCTGTTGCCTATAAACAAAACTTCAGTCTTTAATCGACCTTAGGAACTGTTTCCCCTTCTTTGGAAGACTAAGGGGTGAAAAGAAACTGGGTAACTGAAGAGAAGCTAGTGGAAAATAGTAGTGTCTGTAGTGATGGAAATAAATATAAGTGATGCTTTGTGAGGGGTGCAGCTGAACTTACCATCCACAGACACAGGAGAAGAAGTTTAGGTCTTGATGTTCTTCCTGTGTGGTGTTCATTCCAAATGTAGGTTCATAATTGCAAGCCCACCCTGCTCTAGCCTTCTTCAAACTGACCTGTGTGATTGTCTTTCTGCAGTCCCTAAAGCTCCAGAGATAGATGTAGCTGCGTGTCTGGTTGCTGATAATTGCATAACAATTTCCTGGAGAATGCCTGAGGAGGACAGCAGAATTGATCATTTTGTGCTGGAGTACAGGAAAACCAACTTTGATGGGCTCCCTCGACTAAAAGGGGAACAGCACTGGGAGCTGGTTGACTACATTAAAGCTACTCAATACACATTATCAGGTAAAGTTTTTTTACACGTCAAGCCCAGGAATATTGATACTACTTTCTATGCTTGGAAGTTTTTCAAAATGCCCATTTTTCTGCATGTAATGAAGCTGTCATTATATCACATCAGTCTTGGGTGCTTTGTACAATAACAGTTCTGTCTTTTATTTTGACTTTGCAGTTTTGTCAAAAATTGTATATTAAATAAAGTTCACACCAGTATTCAAGCATGTTTTTTGCAGATTGAGATATATGAAAGACAGCTACGTGGGGATAATCTTAGTCTAGTATGAGTCGTAGTAATCAACACAATTTCAAATTTCCACATTCACTTTGTAGGTCTGAAATTTGATACAAAATACATGAATCTTAGAGTACAGGCTTGCAACAAAGCTGTGGCAGGTGACTACTCCGACCCTGTGACTCTGGAAACCAAAGGTAAAATTTGAAAAACTCTTAACCTTAGCTGTGAAAATCCTTCACTTAAACTTCTCTGCCTGCATACATGAACCTGTTGTGTTCAGTCTGGTTCTGCATGGACGCTGCTGAAACACTTCCTAAGTGGAAAGGGAAACAACTGTAAAGGATTAAGAAGCTTATTGCACAAAGCTGCATTCAGACTCTGGAAAGACGGGGCAGTTAATGTCACTCTCCAAAAGCTTGGCATTGGTTGCTTTGAACTGTGGAGTGACAGTCCCATGTGCCTCTGCATGATGCCAGATATACAGCAAGAAGAGGGATGAGTGTTGTGGCTGACTCTTTGGGCATCTAAATAGTTGATGTGATTATACTGTTTTTAGTGGCAAGGCACAGCATTATGTGATGAGAAGTTGCTGTTTTCTTGACTTCGTAGCTACAGTTTCTAATCACTGTCAATGTTTAAAAAGTTGGCAGCTTCTAATTGCTGAAGGTGTGTAGTCATGATAGAAGTCTGTTGATCAGAGAATTATTAGAGTTGCTTCCTAACATTGTTTCGTAAATAAACTGAAAGAGACGTTTCTTGGAAGGGATGTTTTGTGACAGTATGCAAATCTTGGGTATTAAGGTGAGAAGGTGATCCTGAGGTTTGACTTACATCCAGGTCTGGTGTAAAGGGCAAAATTACTGGTATCAACTATATAAATTTATATAGAAATATAAAATTCTATGAAATTCTATATTCTATAAAATTCTAGGAAGGAAATTTGTTCCTTTTGGACGTTATTTCATAAGAATAAAGCTTTTTTGAATTTGAATGAGATCACAGGTATTCTGGTAGCTTTTATATAATTACTTTAATATTCTTAAGCAACAGTCATTGTCAGAGATGTAGTATCTGTTTAATAGCCACATAATTCCCTAGTCCAGTACCAGAAAAGTAATTCTGATTTTGATTGTCTGGGCAGTTACTATATTTCCCATATTTTCATTATTCCTGCATGAACACTTAGTTCACTTTTCTTTAGTAATCAACCCAGAGAAAGTCAGTTTCCTTGTCCATGTGCTTAACCTTACTTTGCTTTCACTTGTGCATTTTTAAGCTCTAAACTCTTAAAAATCTCAAGTATTTTAAGAATCAGGCTGTAATATCTCATGGTACTAGGACATTTATAGAACAGTCTGTATTTAGAATATTTGTTTTTTTGATCCCAAGTTTCAGACTGAAAAGCTGGTGTTTCTATTATGCTCAATAAAACTCTGCAACAATTTTACTACTGCTTCTATCATTTTCTGTGAATGACCCTTACACCATTTCACTGTTTTTTGTTTTGTCTTGACCAGCGTTTGTGTTCAGTTTGGACAGTAGTTCATCTCACCTGAACTTGAAAGTTGAAGACACCTATGTTGAATGGGATCCTACTGGAGGCAAAGGCCAGGAAAAAATAAAAGGGAAGGAAAATAAAAACAGGTAAGAACTCTGTTTTGTACGTGTCTGGCATATCTTATCTGGCAGTTAAAGGAAGAGGGTTGGGGGAATTAAAGCACTTGGGAACATGAAAGGAATTTTCATTCAGAAATGTGTCTCTGGAAGAAATTTTCATTTTTATTTTCTTTCCTCTGTCACACTGATGTAAAGGCTAGAGTTGTATTATAATTGTTAAAAATATTTTTTTTATTTTTACAATGCATTTGTTAGCGTATCATTCAGTGTACTGAGCTGAAGTGTAGGTATGGTGGGCTGACCTTGGCTACCCACCAGGTGCCCACCCACCTGCTCTGTGGTTTCTCCTCCTCCTGGTACCAAAACCTTTCCACAGACGGCCAGGACAGTAAATAAGGTAAATGTGAACAAATAGCTGATGTAATTCTGTGTTTACTAGTGTTGCAGTCAACTGTGGTGGATAGGCAGCATTTCTACTATAAATAAATATGGAAAGAGCTGACTGCCTTGCCCGTTTGAGAAAGAAAAGGTTAAACAAAGTTGATACTACATATAGGTGGTGTCTGAATTTATCTCAGAACCTCATTGGACAATGAAACAAGACTGACAGTGAAAGGTATATATGAGTATATATGAAGGAAAATGAAACGTGACTGTTGTGGATGTGGCAGCTCTAAACATAATGCTTCCATCCAGGAAAAGCACTTAATTTCAGCGAGCTCTTGGTAGATTATTAGATGTCTGCTGTTCTGAGTCCCTGGATAAAAACTGTTGGGAGAATGCTGAACTCTTGTCTACTCTGGCTGAGCCTTGAATATATCCAAGGATGAAGAATGTGTGGATAAAGAATGTGTTATCTTACTAGCCCTCTGTTCTGGGACACTTTTACGGGAGGGGAAGAGTATCCTGGTACCTGACTGGAATTCCCTGTGGTGCAGTGGCTCCCAGGTGCTTCTCAGCCCATCAGTGTGCCCACTGTGAGGACAGCCTGGCTTGATCTTCTCTGCTCCCCTTCCTGTTACCTCATTAAAGACAGCCATTGGTTCTTGCCTTCCTCAGGCTGAGCAAACCCAATTGTCTTTCTGTGCCATAGACCCTTTACTGTGGTGTTGGCTCTCCACAGACTTGCCCTGGTGTGTGAGGCTGTAAATCTGAGGAGCCCAGACCTGGACACAGGAGGGCTTCAGGGTCAGTCTGACAGCTGCCAGGAGAGAAGTCACTTGCCTTGGGCTCCTGGTCACTGTGTTTGGGCTAGAGGTTGGGTGTGGCTGTCCTCCTCTGCCAGGAGAGCACAGGGCACTGTTGTCAGTTTCTGCTTCCCAAACTCTCAATGGCTTTTCTGTAGAGCGGTTCCTCTTGGGGGTTGCTCTGCCTGTCCTGCTGTGTGGAATTCCTTCACCTGGAGGGCTGTGAGCCTGGTGTTCAGCTGGATCTCTTCAGAGCCCATGGCCCCACTCCAGTCTGAACATCACCTCTTGGGCTTTGGGGAATGGGGCCACACAACTGGTACTCCTTCAGCTATGGTTTATTGGCTTTCTGTGTTCACAGTTTGAGATAATTCATGAACAAATACATTCTCCACAAGCATATATTGCCAGAAGCATGATAGAATAACTTCTATTGGCATTTAAAAAATGGGGATAATTTACTGTAGTAATAGAACAGTTCTTTAATGACTACTTATTTCTGTCGACAGTGGCCAGAATCCTCTGCTGAAGAGCAATAGAAGGTGATAATATACCTCTTATTCCTAGGATCTAGCACCTAGTTTTGCTGGGAATCTGTGCTACTTTCCTTTGCTTGATGTCATGACAAACAAATCTAATAGCCTTTATCAGTAAGAGTGCACATGTGCATTTAGAAGTTAATTTGGACTCACAAAGATTATGTATATATTCTCCGGTGACTGGAAGAGAATATTTCTGGAAGGATTCATCCTAATGTGTAGGAAACTGGATTTGCAGTGGTTGGAAGGGCATCATGTATTTTAATATTGATCCAAAGATCCCTGTTATTTACAGACATGTTGATGCTTTCTCAACCCTTTGGCACATTATTTACAAATATGGTAAAGATCTCCTGTCTGAGAACTTTAAAATAATTTTTTTGTTTTTATTTTTGAATCTCAAAAACCTCTTTGCTTCTGAACTTGTGCTGTAGCTGTTAGTAGATGTTGAGGGTAAGAAGTAAGTGTTTTTACAATGTTTGAAAAGGATGAAGCATATGTTAAAAGGCTTCATGGCCATTCCAATTGAAGAACCAATTGTTAGAATGAGAAATCCTTTTTTTTTCTTTTTTTTGATATATAAAGTTAAGTAAAATGTTCTCCTGTTCTTTGTGCAGTCGTGGTTTTTTAGTGTCATGTTTTTTCATTGTTTTTCAAGTGAAACACCTTTTTGAGAAATTACTTTTCCCATTTTTGATCTTCTGCTCTCTTTTGCTGGTTTAGAAGACCAAAAGAAATGCCCAGGATCCTAATTTATTACAGGTTTTACTCCCCTGTATTAATCTATCAGGTGAATCTATCTCTGATTCAAAATCAGAAGTAAAGAAAAGCTTATGTAAAAAGCAAAGTAAGATCTTGAAGCCATTCAGTTTCAATTGTTCTTCTACACAAATTACAGCAATTTGTGCTAAACTAAGTTTTAAAGGTGTCTTGGAGATGCTCCTACTTGCTCAGCTCAGGGAATTTTACACTTTGGTAACTGTCAGTAGAGAACTTCACTAGTTCTTGGCTCTGCTTTGGCAGAAGGACATGGTCACATGTTCAGTTTTGCATCCAAATGATGCAAATGACTGACCTTCTCTAGGATGGGATTTAGATGAGCTTTGTTCTTTTAGGAAGCTTTTGTTCTCACCTAAAAACATCTGTGAGATGTCCACATTAGAGGGGAAATTTGGAGCTGGCTCTGTGGGAGGTGGGGGAAAAAAAGTTGGCAGCACAGTTACTTTAAACAAAAAATGTGCAGTTTTTAAGAGTTGGAAATACACAATGGCAACAAAATTCTTAACTGTCTTTCATTTATTAGACCAGAAAAAATAATCCTCTCAATAATTTCTGATCTCCTTGACCTTTCCTCTTCACAAGAGAGTTACATCTTGTGTGGAGTGTATTCTGCAATGAATGAGGAAATGGGGATTAATTGCAATGCTGTAGGCAACATTCCTAAACCATGAGACAAGAGTATCTGCCCACTGAATATTGGAAGAAATGTGTCCGTTTACTGGCTGGTAAGGACTGTGCTGTACTGGAAAACAAGCACAAATTGACAAGCTAGTAAGGACTGTGCTCTGCAGGAAAACAAGCACAAATTGACTTCCTGCTGTGAAATTTGCTGCCTTCCATTGGAAGGGAGATGTAAGCAGTGTGGAGGGAAAAAAGCCTGAGCAACTGGTTTTTTGGAGCTTTTATGTCAAATAGTCAGTGTAATTTTCTGAACTGATAAAGGCTATTAAATTCTGAGAGGACAAAGCACATGCAGTGGCTATTTACAGACTTGAACAAAGTAAATGATACCAAGAAGCTTTTAATGCATTCTTAACCTTGGGAAAATTCTAGCAAAGTGCCTGCATTTTTCTTACTGTGATTCTCTAAATGGCCACATTGCTACATTGCTTTCTGCATAACCCATTTGTACTGGGTCTAGTAGAAAATTATCAGCAGCATTTGTTGGGAATGTGAGTGGATGATGTCTGATGCACTTGAAGCAGGATGGAATCTGTAGAGTGCTTCTCTGAATTTCTGCTTTAATTCTTGGCTTTGCTTTTTTTTTTTTTTTTTTCCAATGCTATCACTTGCTAACTTTTTCCTTTGGTAAGTAAACTGCAGCATCCTCCATATTTACAAAATCCAAAAGCACTTGATGTGCTGCACCAGCACGATAGAAACTTAACCCCCTTCATGTACCTCTTGTGAGCAATTTGGAAGCATAGTTGTCTTCTGTTATATGCTAAGTAGTGGTGCTCAAGTAAACAGCTTTTTCATCAGTAATTTTTTTGTAGACTTCTGTAAATGGAATAAAACAAACTTTGGTCGTGAACTAGATTTTAGCATACTTATGTCCGGCAGCTTAGCTTTTGATTCCCCTGTGACTTTATTTTCATGGTGGTATTAGGAAAAATGGACATGTCCTAACACTTTCTGGAATGATTTTTGAGAATAATGGATGAATTGGAAAGAAAACAAGCTGAACTTCACTATATTAATGGGGATAAAAGTAGCAAGTAGCTTTACCAAATTGTAGCTGAAGGGAGAGAAAACTCTTCTGTAGGTGGTATTTTTTCAAAGGCTGATGTCCAATAGACTCCAGAGGATGAGAAATCAAAATGACTTCTCAAGTGTGTTTCAGAGACTGACTGTACTTTCTTGGTGTTTTTGTCAATGAAATTAAACTGTAAACTGTACAGCTATTTCTGAGAAGTTAGAAGTCTTTGCTACTGATTGCCTTTAAAGTAGTAATCAGATGTGATTCTCTACTGAGGAGTATTGCAAATAGCCCTCACTTGGTTTAAGGTTAAATTGTTGGTAATTATTTCTGAGGGCCTAACCAAGGTTAAAAAAAAGTTTGAAAACCTCATTAGGTTAAAATTATTCTTTTATACAACAGATTGCTCATTAGAATATTCTCTATCCTGAAGTGTTTCATTCAAACCACGTGCCACACATCTGCTTCCCCGTTTCCTTTCTCAGCTGCCTCTGAACCTGTTTTTTTGCAACATTCTGTATGTTTTCTTCTGTCACCTCTTCCCTCTCAGCTGTTGTGCGTGCATGCTGTTAGAGGCATCAACTAATGTGCCCTTTCAAGAGTGTTTGTGTGTATCTCTTGCACCTGATGGACTCAGGTGTCCCTGAGTGTGCATTTCTGTGGCTGTATCCAAGTTTTGAGTGGTTGATCTCTCCTTTAGAAGCAACGCAGCGTCTCCGAAGAGATCCACTAACAGCCCAAGGGCCTCAGCGAGGGGTGGCCGGGATCGCTTTGCTGGGGAATCCTACACAGTGCTTGGTGAGCTGAACTTGTTTGCTCCATTGGGAAAGGGCAGATCAGGCAAGAATTAGAGGGAAAGTTTGTGATTGTTCAAGGTTGTGTATTCAGCATTTTCCTGCCTGGAGCATTTTGCCCATATAACACCAGAATTTTGTCTTCAGCTCTGCTTTGTATTACAAAGCTCGTAGTGACTGACATGCACTGCTTTTAAACATAAATTGGTAATGAGCATAGGTAAATACAGTCTCATGATTTTGTTTTATATTTAAATTGTACAGTAAACACATACAATATATTTATATTGTACAATTTTCTTATTCTTATAGCTCAGATTTCTTTGCCTTAAAATAAAATAGAAAAGACATTACTGGTGTCTATGAAAAAGACAGCACTGTAAGGTACACTCAACTGTAATTAACTACACTTAGTTGTAATTAAATGTATTTCTGTTGGTAGGAGACACTGCTGTTGAGAGTGGACAGCATTACTGGGAAGTGAGAGCCCAGAAGGACTGCAAATCCTACAGTGTGGGAGTAACATACAGAAACCCGGGGAAGTTTGACCAGCTGGGAAAGACTAATTCCAGCTGGTGCATCCATATCAACAACTGGCTGCAAACCACATTCTCAGCAAAGCATAACAATAAAGCTAAGACTCTAGATATACCTGTCCCAGACAGAATTGGAGTATACTGCGACTTTGATGGAGGTAAATTACACCTTAGGAGATTTAGTAAAAAGAGTTAGTTACTATTTCTGTTGAGCTGGAGCAGTCCAAGGCTGAAGAAGTGCATTACTTCCAGACTGATCCAGTCTTGCATGACAACACAGACCCTAAGTGCTTGTCATGTCAAATGACCTGAGTTCATCTGTGTGACAGAGCTACTGAAATTCAGTAAAAATAGTGAATTTCACTCTTGTGGACTGCACTTATGTGTCCTGGAAAAGAAAAGATTTTTTTTGTACAAGTTAGACAGTGACAGCATCTTAGCTTGAACTATGTTTAAGCTGAATTTCAGCTTGTTCCCTCTCTCTCTCTCTCTCTCTTAGGTCAGCTCTCATTTTATAATGCGAGCTCGAAGGCATTGTTACACACCTTCAGAACAAAGTTTACTCAGCCGTTGCTACCAGGCTTCATGGTCAGTATCTATAAAATCTTGCAGTTTCTAGCACTGAATTCAGTTTTTTTAAAGAAGGAAACTGCAAGCCTTTGGTTTGGCTGACTAGTAATTTTTAAAAGTGTTTAACTGTTTTCTTTTGGATTTCATGTGGTGCATATATAGTGGCACCCCAGCAGGACTCTGCACCTGGATGTCTGAGCTATGTAAACAGAACTCATTAAATTTGTGTATAGGAAATTAACAGCACCTTGCAGTAGCTGATGAGCCTACTGCAATAACTGATCTGAATTGATGGAGTCCAGGATGCTCTGACCCATGAGAGGAGGTGTCATGGGGTAGAGCAGCACCTGATGCTTTCTAGTGGAAAAAGAAGTCTCTAGCTTTCACATCTTTAAAAGCTCAGTGGGATTTTCTTGCCAGTCAGTTCAGTGCCCTGCATAATTTTTTTGTGGCTCTCTGCTAATTGGCAACAACTTTCCACAGTGTTAAAGGCTCAAACCTTGCTCAAAAAGCACAGGAGAAGGATTAGTTACTGTTAGTTTTTCTTTAATGATTTAAGTGATTCGTTTAGCTAAGTTGGGATGCCCCAGCTGTGTTGTAAGGTGCCATCAAGTGCATCAGGGAGCAGGGTGTGTAGGCCTGGGATTTTAACAGGTCTAGATTTTTTTTTCATGGCTTTTTATTTGCCTTGCTGATCCTTTTCAGCATAGGGGGAAAAGAATAGCTTCAGAACTATATCTGTTAGCCATTCCCTAGCATAGCAAAGGCTGACTCATATCAATTCAAGTTCCCAAGTCATCTGGGGAAACAGTTGCTTGCTGAAATTCATGCTATTGCACTACACCTCACACAGCCAGCCCCTCACAGAGTGACAACAGCCTTATGACTGAACAGGATAAGTGAAAATGACAAACTATTTAATTACAGCTCTCAAGCTTATTTACATCCTTTCATGTGTAGCATAGAAGTTGCTGGCACCTGTGCCCCTGAAGCTATTCAGATATATTTTTTTTTTTGTGATATGTTTATGCTGACGTAACTTTAGCATGACATGGTAAAAATAAGCACTGATTTCAGGCACTGGAGCAGAGTGAGAGAGTTGCTTTTCATTGTCACCCTACTTGCTGCTGACACATTGGCTTTCAAAGAATTTTTATAGTTAGGAGCAAGTGATTTGAGTACTAGGTCTTATAGCTACAAACTTAGTTATGAAGCATAGTATGTGAAGCATCTTAGACTTTAAGGACTTAAAAATTAGCATGTTTGTGATTAGAATGTTTTACAGAGTGCTGTGACAGAAGACATGCAGCTGTGCTTGTGCTAGTAAGCTGTGGGATGGGAGGAGAGAGATCTGTTTGGTTCATAATGCAGATTTTTTTTCTTTTCCCCCCAGATCTGGTGTGGTGGGCTGACAGTGAGTACTGGATTGCAGGTGCCGAGTGCCGTGAAAACTCTTCAGAAGAGTGAAAATGGATTGGGGGGTTCAACAAGCAGTCTAAATAATATTGCCTAGTAATGTCTGTTCAACAAGTCTGCTGCTGAATGTCTTTGTTTTTCTGTGTAGCTACTACTCACAGAAGCTTGTGAGCATTGGATTTTACTGGGTTTGCTGCCTTCTGCTGTTTAGGGCCTGTGCAAAGAAAGTGCAAAGGTTTTGGGGTAAGTGTTAGGAAGCAGTACTGGGAATCTAGAAAAATGTCAGAAAGCTGAACTGTTGCCTATCTAAAAAAAAAATACACAAAAAACCCCCAAGAGCTATAACTGTGTACTTTTCTAATACTGTATTCAATTCAAGCATTTTGTTACAGACTTCAATATTAGTTTTGGTACAAATACTATTCTTCTATGAAGAATATAGCAAATACCATTTTTTAGCTCTCCTAATGCGAATTACTTAACAATGTGTTTAATTATTACTAGGCTTGCCATTAGAAGTTGAAATTTCTGAGATGCATTTTGAAAACAGACAGATTAGCTGTCCCAGCCTAGCAAAATACTACAACATGGTTTCAGAAGGATATGATAAGAATGTGTAGGCCTGGTATGAAGAAACAGCAAGATCAGGCTGTTATTATTTCCCCCAGTGATAAAAATCTTCGCTTTTCCACGGATAACTCTTTCTTAAAACCTTGTATATTGATATTGGCTCCCATTTGTCACCATTACTTAATTGCATTCTGATTACATTAGAAAATTATGTATAGATGTTCCACTGGCTTGACTCCTATTTGCAAGCCTAGTAAAACAGTAGTCAAACGATTCATAATAATGGGAGAGCTAAAAAAAGAAAAAAGATCATGTTATATTCTTCTTGGAAAATCCCAGCTTGTCAGTGGGAATTACTAGGTTATTATAGGCTTTTTTAATCTGCTTTCTTCCCTTTAATCAAGCCGAGGAGCCTATAAATAGTTTTCAGGTACACTCTTGAATCAGGTGTTTCCTAACTGAAGATTATTTTCTGGTATCACCTGAAAGCTGTTATAAAGTCATGGTCCATAATGATTTGGCTCATTTGCTGCTGGGCCGCTACAATTTTTCCTTCTGTATATTCTTTAGCCCATAAAACCATGAACATGTAATCATGTTAAACCTCAGTATTACCAATGGCTCCTTTCTGTCCATCACAATTTCTCAAGAGAAGGAGAAATTCCTTGAGACACCTTCTAATAAACTGGCTATGATGTTCAGTGAGAAGTTAAAATTAAGAAGGAAATGTAATTACCTGTTCTGGAAAGTGTTATTTTTCTTGAGGAATCATGAAGTTGACAGGTTGGCTGAGCCCTAAATGTTTATTTTGCATCTGGAACTTGAGCATCTCTTAATTATTTGCATTGTGAACTTGTAATCTCTTTTTGCAGAGGAAAGTACTAAATAGTTCCCAGTTTAACTGTACGTTCTTCTGCCTGTTCTGTTGCTTGGGCTTTGGGACAAAGATACTCTGAAGTGAAGTGATGTGGTTCTTGGTCAACAGTGTCTGAATCTGTTTCACACATTATCTGCAGATGTTACTGTTATGCAAATACTCTGTGTATAATCTTTTCTCTTTCCATTTTACTGCAATGGACACCTGACTAGGAGTTCTTGGGGATAAATCGCTACAAACTCAGTTTTGCAGCCAGTTCTAGTCCACAGCAGTGGTGCACAGACACCAGGACAGACTGGCACCTCCTCATCACCATGCATCCACTTGTCTTTATCATGGGTGTTCAGCTGCAGTTCCTCTTCAAATTTCCCTTTGTGGAAAGAAAGGGGATGTTTACAACCAGCTAATGTGTAGTGAGAACCATGAGTATTTTCCAGCCCACTACAAGAGCATTTAAATTATGAAGTTTTTTTTGTTTGTTTTTTTTTTCTTCTTAGCAAGCTGTAGTGTAACATGCAAGGTGAATTCAATATGCACCAATGTAAAAATGTAATTTTGCTTTTAACAGTTAGTTAGAGGAAAGCTTCGGAGTGTTTCATACTGTGATTTGTGACTTGCAAGTTTTGGTTTAACTGATGTCCTAGGTGAACCTTAACATGTGACTTTTTACCCTTACAATGATGCATTTGTTATATAATAGTTTGCACAGATGTCAAATTTTTGCTGCTAACATTTAGTCCAGTTGTTTTTAGTAAGTGGGGATATGAAGAATTGCCTTAAGCACTTTAGATATTTCTTTCTAGACCTGTTTTTCTGAATTAGTGTCTCTCCAGCACCCATCAACCTAGGAAGATGAGCGACACCACACTGCTCCCAGTGATGCTTTTTGTTGCAGTTGGTACAGGGTTTGTGCCTGCAGCTGGGCAGGGATGCCTGGAGCCTGTGGAGTTACCGTTCCCTTTGTGAATCCACTTTCAGGGATTTGGAGAAGGGTGGCTCTTTGGCAGTGGATTAGATTTTTTTGAAGGTCTGTAGTTCAATCCACCAGGCTTATTTACTGTTAATTACTCTGGAGCTGATACTGCATGGTGGCTGAACAGGAGTTTTCTGCTCTGTGACCAAAAGGAGATGATTAATTACTGACTCCTGGTATTCTGAACCTATTTTGACTCTGAAAGCCTGACTTTTGAGGGACTAAAGGTTTTCCTTGAGGTATTAATACATCAGCTGAGCATAGCTGCCATTGTCCTGTGGAAAACTAAGGAGAACTTTGTTAACTGCAGCTAGGGATGTCAGTGTCAGATAGGATAATTAAAAAAAACCCAACCAACCAAACAAAAAAAAACAAACAAAAAAAACATCTGGGGATATAAATGCTTCTGCAAATACCAAGCAGATACCAAACAGGCAGGGCAGAGGTGGCAGGTTCATTTCTTAGAAGTGCAGGAAGAGCTGAGGCTAGTGTACAAATCCTTTTTTCCTCATCCCTCCCACGTTTCAGACGGAGACCGGGGGAGCCACTTGGGAGTGTGTTGGACTTGTCTGTGTTTTTTATTTTGAGGACTGCGGGGTGTTGGATGGACGCTGACCGTGACTTGTGTTGATGTCGTGGCACAGCGTCGCTATTTTTGAGTGTCCTGTGGCAGGGCGAGCCTGGCCGTGGGTTTCCTTCGGAGCAGTTCCCGGTGATCCTGAGCATCCCTGGACCGCACCGTGGGGTCCCTGCCCGGAGCCCCCCGGAGGGGAGTGGGAGACGGGGGGTGCCGTCCGCGTGTGACGCGATGTTTTGTACTAATACAGAAATCTGCATCCTTGTGTGTGTGTGTTTCGCTGTGTCGTTCTACCGCCGCCTCGTTTTGGGGGGATTTGGGGGAGTTTGGGGGGTTTGGGGTGGGTGAGAGACCCCCGTGAGGGGGCTTTACGGCAGCGGGGGGGCGGGGGGGGGG